AGATTATATTCACCTTGACCAGGCTATTATTTCAGGCTTTCTAAATACAGAGGTATCCCTGCATAAATTACAAGTTTCATACCATCAAGCTTTTCATCCCAAACACAAGCCTAGAAACTTCAGCACACATAATTGGCAGAAACTCCAGAAATGAGCAATTAAAAGATACCAGAACCCAAATATCTCCCAAAAGAGGATCATTTTGTCTGATGGCCATCACCTACCACAACTTTGCACCCCGAAGTACACAAAATTATGAATAACTATCAAAAATTATTAATAACTTTTAGAAAATTAAAAACTATTCACTACCAGTGTGCAGGCTTGATTGCAATACCGAAAAGCTATTTTGACTGCTACAAAGTACTGGAATTTCAATGAATACTCAACATATCATTACTTACAGAAATCTACATAATGTGCCATAATGATGACCAGCTCATACTTTCTCTATGGACTTCAACATCTTACTCCACCATTACTTCAGAAAACATTGAAAACAATTTTTTCTCCATTCTGCAATATTGCAACTTGACAGCAAACATACTACACAGCGCTGCCTTTTGAAACCCTGAAGATGGATTTATGTTCAACAGACTTAAAACAACCTTTCTAATGGCCACCCATCAGATAGTCACGTAGTGGGGAGCTTTGAATGCCTTTGTGTGGGATCTCATTCTCATGTTGCAGCAGGTACTTAAAGAGTAAGAACCCTTTTTTTTTCCAAAGGAATTTTTATGTCCAACTCCCTTTGAAGCCTCCCTTCCTATGTATCTTTGAAAATCTGATCTTCAATTTGTTATCCATTTTCCCTTCCCGCCTGATATGGAAGTGCCTTCTCCTCTTCCTTCCAAACACTCTAAAATGAGGGGAGAAGCAGGTCCATACTCCTAACGTGAATGAAGTGCAGTTGCTTGGAGAACCATGGCTCCTTCTCCCCAATCTTCACCTATTCTTTTCCACTTCAGTTGCATAAAACTTCATCTTGATGGCCCACAGGCTTCTGTTTCTCACTCTATGTAATCCATCAGAACTGATTTACATTCTTTAGATAAAAGTAAAGATCACTGTAGGCAGAAACTGGATGCAGTTGTCTGCTACAGAAAACAGCTTTGCTACTCCTTTCAAATTTATTGATTACTTGCAGCCTTTCCCCTCTAAAGTACATCTACCAAAGTGGGCACTGCTGTTGGAATAGCCACTAGCTGTCTGATAAAACTTAACGAATGGCAATTTTATTAGCTTCTGTTGTTATTGTTTCTTTAACTCCTTCCGTATCAACCCACCACAGCAATTTGCTGACAAAGGAAGATTAGAGATAAGGCACGACTATGAACATTTTGATCCTTACTTCAATTCTCTTTTTTTTTTTTTTTAAACAGATTTTCTTAGGCAAGTCATGCAGGGCCAAATTTTTAATGGTGTCCAGCACCTGCTGCTCCCTACAAGAGAGGGAATTTTGTGGAAAAACACTTAAAGAGATCATGGAAAACTCAAATACTGCAGTATTTATATCATCAGCACTATCTTGGCATGCCAGAACTGATTTTTCTAGGTGTCTGTAGCCAGATATTTTAGTGTTACCCCTCTGCATTTGATCCTGGGAAATTTCTGACTGGTCAGGGTCTATAATTTCCATGTTACTTCCCCATCACTGGTTTGAAGACTGTGCTGCCTGTCCTGGAGAAGAGGAAGAAAAAACCCAAACACCAGCAAAGTAATTACTTCTTATTAGCTATGATTTTTTTTAATCAAGATGTTAAGGAAATGCTATGTGTCCCCTCACCACCCATACATCCAGAGCTATGAAGACTGTCTCATGATCTGCAACAAACCTAAAAAAAAAAAAAACTTTGTTCTATAGAAATCACTACACTCTAAAAGAATCCTGTAGAGGAATTGCTATCTGAGTCAAGTAGTAGTAAATCTGACTTGTTTAAAAATCTTTAGTTAGAAGGAAATAAATAGCAGTAACCCAAAACCCCCTGAATTTCTTCAGCTGCAGTCCTCGGCCAGCACTACCTGGTCAGTCCTGCACTACAGTAATTTTGCTTTACCAAAGTGCAATTAAGCACACAAAGAGTTATTATATCAAAGCTGCACGCAGAGATTAAACTCAGACTCAATCATACAACTAAATCCCCATTCAGTGCTTTGAAAATTTACCACTAAGTGTGAAGCTAAAAATACTAGCTAATAACAGTGAGCTATCTCCCAACCACATCCTCTTGTAGAACAACATCAATAAGAGACAAGTCTGAAAATGTGCCTTAGAGGAATTAATGAACATTTGTTTGAAACGGGGCCATTTCACTTTGGGACAGGGTTTTTTTTCCTTCTTTTTTTTTTTCCTCCCCCTCATCTAGTGAACATATCCTGCACTTCGGGGTATGGAAATTTGCCTAAATCACACCCCTAGTCAAATCAAATTTAACATATCTTTACAAGATATTTATGACATGCGAATACCTGGAGGTCCTGTTTCTCATTCACATGAAGGTCCCTTACACCAGAAAAAGAGGGCTCTTTCATGTTAGTGAGAATGAGCACATTGTAGATTAGACATTGGTTTCACATATTATAATTAACGTGAAGCTTCAGCAACCCACATCTCCACTCCACGTGCAACAAGCAAGCAAACCACACCGCAGCATTTTAAGAAAGGTGTTTGGCAAGCCCTTACAACTGCATCCTTACAATCTGCCACTTGTGTCTCAGCAGGATTCTGCTTCAAGAATCTCAGAAAAAATAATTTTGCTTTGCCTTTCATTAAAGAAAAATAAGAACCCCTTGCTTCACTCACTCCATTTTTTCTTAAGCCTGTTTAGCAGCTCAAGCAACCCAAACCAAACATTTTCTCAAGATAAAACAGATTAACAGCAAAAATTCCACCTTTGGATTCTTAGGCATCTGCTTCGCTCACAAATTTTGTCTCTTGGCACACATCTAATTCAGAAATAAATTATTCAATTATGTTTCTTTCACAACCTTTTCCTTCTTTGTCACTTAAGAGCAATCAGAGACAGGAATTTTCAATTTAGAAAGCTTAGACCAGAATCACCAAGCACAAGCTATTTCTGGGGACGCTTTCTGGACAACATCTGAAAACGCATGCTGAGTGCCCACGCCTGCGGCACCCACCGCAGCCACCCAAACCTGCGGGGGTCTGTGTGCTAGGGCTTAGCAACCAGTCTGCAGTGCTGAGGAGGGTCATGTCACCTGGGGGAAAAGGGCAAACAAAAGAAAACCATTTGGCTTCGTCTCAGAAGGTAAACGTGTATTGCAGGTTATAGCTTTCTGGGTAGAATTCAATTGAAACGAGTAAGCCCAAATTTTAAAATTCTCATGTCAGATAAACAAGTTACCATGATTCCATTTCCTTTCTTCAATAAACTCTGATACCCACCTAGAAGTTGGGATACTATTTCCAAAATTATTTGCTACCTGAGGTCAGTGCATGAACAGATACAACACACAGCTAATTACCTGACAAAGTACTATTAAGCACCCCATTTTTCAGAGCGTATGTCTCCACACAACAACTACTTCGAGCAAAAAGTCGAGCCAGATGGTGAGTGTCTTTCAGTGTTTCAAGGAACACTCCCTATTTTTCGTGCTACCAAAGAACCTTCAAGTTACATGGAAGGTATAAAAGCGGGTGAACTTCACAGCAAAGGCTTTCACAAGCAAAAAGAATTTTAATTTGAAAGGGTTGAGCAATTTTATACTGTACCAATAACGGGTATATACCTGATAATCGGACATAAAAATATAATTATGTACTCGGGCATTAAAAAGGAGGAAGACTTATCTGTGGACATGAAGTATTTTTCTGCTTAAAACTACATTAACACATTAAGCACTTAATTTACTCTTTAAAAAGCTACTTTTTTTTTTTCCTTTTTTCAAATGGCTTAGAATTTGCTGGCAGCAATACTTTTACAGCAACAGCAAAAAGTAAATTGTACACAAGTCTGGCACAAACGCCTGTTAATCTGATAACCCATAAACCCTCCCCACTACAGAGGACTCCAATTAGAATGAATAACAGAGATGTTTGGGGAATTGAGGGGGACGACATCTGTTTGATTGACATGTGCCTTTCCTGGAAGAATGCAATGCACGTCCATAATCCTAAACAGTCTGACAGCACTACTATGACCCAGTTCTTAGGAAAAAAAAAGTCGTATCTTTGCTACAACAGTTGTTTAGCTCTACATTTATACTGAAAAGTATTATTTGAAGATGTGTCATTCTATTTTCTAGTGCTGTATTAAAATCTTTGTCCACATAGCTAGCCATACGTCATCTAATTGCCATAGAAATGCTACAAGAAAGAGTATTTTTCACCGCTTATTATATAAACCCTTCTGTGTTTCATTATATGTCCTTACTGGCAAAGCTGTTAGCTTGTTCTGCTGCTCGCATTCTACTGAGAACAAACATAACTTATCAACTGGCTGACTGCTTCTTGAAAAATAGGTATCAGTTTACCCCATTGAATTACTACACCTGTTTGAATTTTGGCCACTCCATCAGAGCAGCGAGCTAGCCTGAGGAAATTTCAACACTCAGTTTTATTAGCCTACTTGACAAAACTTTCATAGCCTTAGGAGCTTGCAAAAAGTGAGAACATAAAGAAATACTGAAATAGTGAAAAAGACGGAGAGAGTACACCAATTGTAAACACCCCTTTTTTTCTCATCAGTAAACTACCTTTTGGGGGGGGTATTTTTTTTTTTAAGCTCTGCACATATTACTTGCTCAGTCTATTCAAAGCCCATGAAAGGAACATAAACCTGGAATGAAAGCTATTGCTGAAACTCGGTAATAGTAACTAACTGATAAACACTGAGTATCGGCTCGATACACCGTATTACATAAACACATATCACCTAAAACAGTAAAACATTCTCTCTATATGCCTTACAGACTGCAAGAACACCAGTGCAACAGGGAGAAAAAACAAACTATGAGACACTAAAAAAATGGTGGCTCACCTTCTGTGCCATTGGGTGTCATGGAATTATTATTTATATGAGAGTTATCAAGTTTTGGACCACTGGGGGATTCACTACTACCACTTAGTCGGCTATGCGGGCTGGCTAGATCCTGCATTTCCATAGACCTGAAAACAAGATGCAACTAGTTTCAGTGACATATTCGACATGGATTACAGAGGAATTACCTATATGAGACGCAGCCTGCGATTAATCAACATCCCCAAAACACTTAGTAAAAAATGAACAGCTTCTCTCAACTTGATCTTTTCTAGTGCTGAACTCATTTTGTAGCCCCGCACACATGACTGACCAGCTACAGGAATCATTTTTGCAGTTTCTAACAGAATGAAATTTAGATACAAAGTACTGTACTTTAAACATTCATGGCACCTTGTATTTTTAAGATACGTACAAAGAGGAAATCACCAATCTATGAAGACATATATTCTCTTAACAACAAATTCGCACTCTGCTTTTTCAAGATTTACCACTCAGTGGCAATATAATGGGCCTCCAAACCAAATAAAACACTTGAAGCAATTGTGGAAACCTATCATCTACTGACAGGGAATGAGATATTCCTGATGTATGTGTTTACTCTGGCAAACTACTTAATTGTTCCTCTGTTTCCGTTGAAACAAATGCAGCATTAAAACATTATTATGTCTGCTCACTTGTTTGCTTTGTGGATTACATAAAGCGTGCCCAACTGAAAAGGGATATGACCAACATACAGTGAATCCATATAGGCGTTCGTATGCCTTAGCACTCTGCTGGATCTCAGCAGCTGTCACTTAGTCAAAATAAGAAGAGAGCAATTCTGATTCAAAGCAAAAATTAAGCATTTATACAGCGCACAAGCAGCTGAATATTTCCAATTTGTGTTTTTAATAGCCTTATATAAAAAAGCCAACAGCCATCCCCACCGGGACATACTCCTCGGTTGATGCTGGGGAAGCTTATGATGGAAATGCCCCATCCTTCCATTTCTTTATACCTAAAACTTGTGATAATGTTATTTGATGTACTCAGTCTAAGTAATTGCTCCCAGTAGAAATTTCATGTGTTACTGTGCCTCCAAGGCACTTGAACCAGTAATTTTTCAGCTTAAAAGAAATGCTTTGGCTCTTTTAAAGACTATTAAAATTATATAAAAAATTCCTCCCACAGTAATGGTATAAATATCCTTAAGCCTAAGTGTCATTTCAGCTGTGGAGTTTTCACATTTCAACTGAGATTTTATCACAAGTTCTAAACACAAATCTTTCACTTTATATTTCACTACCTAAACCAATCTACACATAAAAAAGGATGATGTCGCATTGAGTTTGAAAAGCCAGTGCCTAATATAAAGTCAAACAATTTAGAGAAAAAGTGTACGTGCTCGTGGTTTACAGACTTGGTTGCAGAAAAAATGACACTCCTGCACTTACTCATCTGCTGAATGCAGAAAACATAAGAATAAGTATTTACGTATCAACTGAAGTTAAAAAAAACCCAAACAAATAAAAGGCTTGCAGAAAAATAGCAATTTTCAATCAAATCCTTACCTGCAGCTTGAGGAAACAGCAACATCTGAACTGGTTTGGGACTTCTGCACCTGTAAACCAGGGAAAGAAACAGAAGCCTCTATTACTCCGCTTTACTACGAGGCCTTAATTTAAAGAAAGGATATCACCACGGATGACAATTCTGTCCTTTAAACCCAAAATGAGAGGAGGAGGGCGCGGTGGCCGTGAAAGGCATATTGTCTTTAAATTGAAGGCTCAACTGTTGTTTCCTCGGCAGGTCTCTCTCCCTCCTCCCCGCGCCGGGGGACGGCGGCCAAGTGACGGGATAGTGATTCATCAGGGGCCCGTGACAGCTGCAGAGGGGCTCACTCCTCCCACGGCACCACACGGCACGGCACAGCCGAGCACCCCCGCAAAGGTAACCCCACCGCGCCGCCCCGCCAAGGGCAGTGGGAGCCGCGGGGCCGCCCC